TATGAACAGTTCATATACACTCTTGTTTGCTTCTAACAATGTTTGTCTCTCTTCGGTATGTGGAATTTGTCTTGGATTGAACTTTGAAATATCTAATGTCATAAAATATGAGAACAAGTGGTTGTAAAAGTCAGATGTCAAAGTTTCTGCTAAGTCGTCAAAATATTCTGTATCTTGCATATGAGAATCTGACGTTCTGACAACTACATATCTTCTGTCAGAACTTTCTAACTTCATCGGAACAGTATTGTTTGAAACCATAATGAAGTTTGCAACATTTTCACAAACTCTTTGGTCTTTATATTTTCTTTCAACAACTCCAACTTTGTCTGTTATAAGACTCTTCAAAGCATCTGAGTTCAAAACTTTTGTTGTATCTATACTTTGAAGTTCATTGCAAACTATAAGTTTCATATTCTCTATTGAGGAGTTAAACTTGCCACAGATGTTTTCTAAGTTTGTCATATTCGGATTCGAATAACCTTCTAACAGTTTGCACAAAATATCTGTAAAGAATGTGTTCTTACCAGTTCCTTGCTTTCCAATTATAATGAGAGCAGTTTCATTTTTAGCACTTGGATGTTGTAAGATGTTTGCAAACCAACATAAGATATACTCATAGACTCTTTCGTTTCCATTGCATATAATTTCTTTGACATGGTCTAACCAAGCTTCTATAATATTTTCTTTCCATTCTACTTGTTCGTATTTATATCCAGTGAAGATAGAATAGAAGTTTGGAGAAGGTGTATAAAACTTTATACCTCGAACTGAAAAATCTTCTAACTTTGACAATAAGATATCCCAAGCATCTAACATCTTCATGCCAACTTGTACAACTTTTATTTTCTTAAGTTTCTGTCTACATTCTTGTTCTGAAACTATTGTCGCTCTTGGTTTGTTAAAGACAACATCCCATTCTTTCATGACATAACATTCTGGGCAGAGTCGACATAAATGACTAAACGTTTCAAATTCTCGACTGCTTTGTTATAGTCTCTAAATGGACACATATTTCTGAAGGCTTGGAAGTCATAAAAATCTGAAACATCTATTCTGTACATTTTTATAAAAATAAAAAAAAATATTTTTTTTATTCTTGACTTTGTTGTTGCATTTGTTGTTCTTGAGCTATTTGTTGTTGAAGTTGTTCTTGTAATACAATACTTTCACCGGTTGCATCTTCCAATTCGAAACTTTCTGCCGTCATTGACAAATACATAGGACATAAAAGTTTTACAGGAACAAAGTTTGCGTCAACTAAGGTTAAGTTTATGTTTGCTAAAGTGTTTGAGTTTACTAGAGCTGAAAACTCTGCATTCGAATGAACAATAGGCAAACCAGCAGAGAAAGTATTGTTTATACGCATGAGTATCTTTTGGTCATAGTAGTTTCTGTCGACATTCGAATAGCACTTTGAACCTAAGTTTGAAACAATATATAAAATAGGTGTACTTAAAGTCAATGGAACAGATAGACCTTGTATGACACCTTTTCCTGTTATAGGAAACTGTTGGTAGTAAAAACCAGATATAAGTTTTGTATTATAGCTCATATCGTTTATAGTAAACTCGGTCGGACATCCAAACATAATGAAACCTGCTCTAGTTGCAGCACATGTTACATCCGTCCTTAAAGTATTAAATAAGTCAACAAAACCTGTTGGTGGTATATCTGAGTAAGTATCTTCAAAGAAGTATTTTTTACCATTCACAACAACAAAGTCTTCTGGTGTCAAAAGAGCAAAACAGGCTTTAGTCGTCATCGTGTTTAAGGTCAGTTTACAATACCGTCCTTGAGGACTTTGTAAGTTTGTTGTTATAGAATTATATGACTCAGGGTTTTTAGTCGTAATAGTATAAACCATTGTGTCTTCTGCCATTTACTTAGCAAACAAACTTTAATGAAATGTTGTGGTCGTCAAATATTTTTATGACGTCTGGGAAACTATATTTTAAGTTCAACGTTTCACCTCCTTTCATAACGTATATCTTGTCAATGACATTATATGAAACACCACAGCAAGCAATGTCGGGTTCTATTTCTTTGATGTTTATATCGTCTGCCTCTGTCAAAAGTTTCAATAGTTCTTTCAAAACTTCATGAGGTGCAATGACATATGAGTTCACTTTTACAGGGTTGTGTTCGACAAGTTTAACATTATACCCAAAGCTTGACAAATCTTCTCCTGAGTTTTAAGTTTGTCTTTAAGTTGTTGGTAGTCGTTTCGAATATCTGCAACAGAACTTAAGTCTCTGCTAACTTCAGGATATGTTGGTTGTTCTTTTACAGGAACTATTGTTATACCATCTTCGTCCTCGTATGGTTTCCCCACTTCAACATCTCTTTCTTTGACATTGACAATAACACTTTGACTGTTTGTTTGAGTTGGTGAATTTAACTTCACATCTGCCACCGCCATTAAACCTTTTGAAACACTTACGCTTCTATTTTTCGGAAATGACATTTTACTTAGAATAAAAAGATGGACGTATTTGAGTATCTCTTCGAATTGAAGCAGAACAAAGTTTACACACACAAACAATACAAATACATTGACAGAATAGTTCTTTATACAAACAATGGAAAATGTTATAGAATAGCAGTCTTTGCTGAACCAAAATATTTTCATAAAGCAAAGAAAGTTGGTATAACCGAAATGGTGAAAGTTCTTGACGTTGACAAAAATATAACAACAAAACTTACAGATATTTCTAAAGGAAAGTTTATCTTACAATATTATGTCAAAACTGGCGTACTGTCAATATTTGACGGAGAGAAGTCAGTTCAAGAACAACTTACTGACCTGCTGCCAAAATCTGCTCGATGGAAGCTGTCGTTATACCAATCTGAGGAGCCCCAGCAGGTTTCATCGAACGAATCTTCAAAGAGCATCTTCCGTGAAAAGTGCTATTGGTTTTGTAAACTTCTTTGCTCTCAATTCATCTGGACCGTCTCTGTCACCAGTATATTGTATTTGTACAGTACCAACAGTTGAAATACCACCCATAAAGTCTTCTGAGTCAGCAAATGGAATGCCAAGCCAAAAGTTTGAACGGTCTCCATTTGTATATTGAGTTTTTTGACCTCCTGTATGAGTCCATACTTTCACATATGGCATAATAGAACTTTGCATTTCAGGGTTTATGGTTGTTGTGAAGTTGTTGTTAAAGTTCATAGCATCTAATGTCAAGTTGTATGACCTCATATCCTCAACTGTAGAATATTCTTCTCTTGGATAATATTTGCCATCTATGTTTATATGATATTTAATACCAGGGTTGTAGAAACAAGAATAGTCATTTATAGTTCGTCTGAACAGTACAAACATAGTATCTGCATGTTTCATTGCAGTTGTTAAGGCAATATCTGTTCTTGCACCTGGGTCAGCACTTTGGTTTCCAACTTCACCTGCAAAGTCTTTGACAGATATTTGGTGTATAGGGAACATAAGTGGAACTGCAATATATTTGGCAGCTAAAGCATTTGAAATATCTGGGTCCAACATATAGACTGCAAGTCTGCTTTCTATTCTCTTGCATTCAAATTTTTCGCATGTGAACTTAACTGGGTCCCAAGCATCTCCAGCAGCATTGAAATAATAGTTTACTTCAGTGTTGAGGTTTGAGAAACCAAAGTCTAAGTCAACTTTGTTTTTGCAAAAGTCGGCGAATGACATTTTATTTGTTCCCACTACTTCTGTAAGAGTGAATGGGTCTTGTGTTGGTGCAATGACTAAGTTATTTTTGCTTGGAGTAAGTTCGATAGAAATTTTTCCTGCCCAGTTTGGCAAGTATCTTAAAAACCTGAAGATGAGGAAAGATGACAAAGGAACTCTAAGTTTCAGTTTTACTTTGGTTACTGCTGCTGCAGTTTGTCCAGAAAGGTTAACATAAACTCCTGGAACGTTAGGGTCAAGTCTTCTTATTTTCTCAATGGTTGCATACTGGTCTGTTTGTTCTCTAGCTTGTGGTTGTACTGAGTTTCTCAAAGCGAACCATTCATAGTTTGCCCATGTTACTGTTTGAACTAAGTCAGAGTTAGAATATATCTTATATCCCATGAAAACTTCTGGAGCATATTGGTATCCGACATAGAAAATTCCATTGCAACCTTTCTTGTCAGACAACTTGGCAGAAGGTTTTATTTCAATGTCTTGTTCCACGTATAAGAAAGAGTTGTCAATAGAAATTATATGAAACCTGTCGCAAGCAATATCTACTGTTGTTGAAGAACCTTCTCCAAACTCACCTACGTTTCCATAAGAAACAGCAGTTGTATATTCGTAAGTTCCAGGAACTATTTCTGACCTTCTAATGGCATTGTCGCATTCGTTATACCCATTCGGAAACATTTCCATTCATAGCATCCAAACTGTTGGCGTTATATTCTGAGCGGCGTACATTTCATATGAGTAAAAATATAGAATAGTTGGATTTATATGTCATAATAGAACCCACGTGGACCAAGCTTTACTTTCTTCCTGACTGAGTTTTTAACTCTTCTTTTTCCTTCATTGCCCTCTGCTTGAAGTTGTTGCATCTTTGCATTATGTTCATCTAGTATGTTGCAAATTTCCCATGTCCTTTTTGCCTTTGGGCTCTGGTCGCCCATCTCAGGTAACCTATATCCTAGAAAGAGTTTGTCATAGTTTGTATTTGAGTCTTTGCGTATTGTTTGCATGACTCTTTCCTGAGTTTCCGGTTCAAGCTCTTCAAACAGTGCCTGTCCATATGGAATATGCTCGTTTCCAAATATATGTTTTTGTAGCCATTCTGGTTTTCTTTCCATGTTACCAACTATATCTTTTGTGAATGGGAAAGCTTCTACCCAATCTTTCAGTCTTGCGTCGTTTATTTCTGTAGTTGGTTTTATTTTGTCAAGGAACATGTTTTTCAATACTAACATTTCATCTGGTACTGTCCATTTGAGTTTTCTTAAATATTCATCCCTTCTCAGTTCATTGTCTGCAAAGTAAGTTTTTATGACATTTTGTAAACTTTCGTTTGCAAGGTCATGTACAATAGGTTCTCTTCCTTCGCTCTCCCTAACTTTCTTTCTAAACTCTTCACCAAATATACCATCTCTATGGTTCTGTGTAGTTCTTTGAGATAAATGTTCTAGAACGTCAGGTGTTATATTTCCATCAGCCATGTTCATTTCATACTGGTCCAAAATATCTGCATGTTTCATATCTTTCAATGGCATTAAAGCCGCGCTGAAAATACCAGCTATATCTCGTTCACCATTCGCTTCCATTGCGTCTACAACTTCTTGGAATTGAGGTTGTAAGTTTATGAACCACCTATCCGGATTAGCTTTATGACCCCATCTCATTGTAGTTCCATCGTCTGCAGAAACAAAAGTAGGTTTGTTTCCATCTTGGTTAGGTTCTGAATGAACTTTAAACAATGTTTCATTTCTATATGTTTTCTTGAAATTTAACCTTTTATTTTCACCGAGTTCATCCGAAGATTGAACGTTAAATGCTCGTAAGTAAAAAGGATTGTTGTATTTGCGTACATTTTTTTTCAGTTCTTCCATTCTATGCTGGATATTTTCATCTGATGTTGGAGTCTTTTGTATGTCGGCAAACATTTTTCGATATTCTTCTACTATGTCAGCCGAATTTTTTTTAGACTCTTGGAAATATTCCATATTCTCCGCATACTCTTGTTGAGGGTCAAGATTTTTCGGCTGTTCCAAATCTTCATCTAGTTCTGTGAAGTTAGTTTCCAAAGGAAGGACTTGTTCGTTTCCTTCAGGCTCTTCTAGCTGTTGTTGCTGAACTATTTCTTCCATGTCTGGTTGTATCTGAACTTCTTCCTGTGGAGTTTCTTGTACCTCATCTGCTGGCATTTCATATATTCCGAGACCGTTTTCAACAATTTCCCTATCTACGTCATCCGCATTCATAAGCTTTTGTTCTTTCGTTCCGTCTCTATTTTTTACGCGTTTCATGACGAAAGTTGAATTGTCATTTAGCTCTGACATCAAATATCTCGGAGTAAATTCATCCATGTCATTTGGATGATATGCTATTAAATCATATCCCTTAGCGAGCTTGTATTTTCCAGGTTTGAGATTATATCCGTTTTGGTGCTGAGCCATAAAGCTAAATAGGTTCGGGTCAGTATTTCCATCCTTGAACTTTCCAATAGCTTCTTTATATCTGTCACTAAAGTCAACAGTATCTGGGAAACCACACTCTTCTTTAAGCATTTTTAAGAATTCTTGGTTTCCTTGTTCTCTACTTCTTTTATGTCCTTGCTCTGTTTGTGGAGGTGGTTGTTGTGCAGGGTTTTGAACTGTTGGTTGTTGTGCAGGGTTCTGAACTGTTGGTTGCTGTGCTGGTTGTGGAGGTGGTTGTTGTGCATGCCTGTGTCTGTGTCCATGTGACGATGTAAATGTTTTAGGTAGTCCTGGTGCAGGTGCTTCTCTTGGAGGGTTTGGTGGTATATAAGTTCCACCAGCTGGCACATATGTTCCATCTGCAGCGTAATGTCCTACCTGACTTTTCGTTTTTAAGAAAGCATTTACTAGGTCTGTTTTGGTCTGTTGTAACTCTTTTTCTTGACTTTTCACAACAGTTGCTCTAACGGCGTCATAGGCACTTTGAACTGCCTGTCTCGTTGCTGCATCTGTTATTTTCGTCATATTTTGTGCTACTTCTCTTAACTCTTTGTCGAAACCTTCAGACTTCAGTTTCTTTCCAGATGAGAAGTCGTTCACTTGTTTCACCTTACTATGAAGAGCTTCGAAGGCGTTCTTAAAGTCAGCATTTGTTAAAGCTTCATTTGAACTGTCTTCATCCGCTTGTATTTTTGTCCTTATTGACCCTATAAGCTGGGCTGCTTTAGCGTTGGCTTGGGCATCTAACCAGTCATTGTTAGCTTTTATATATTCTGAGCTTTTCATTGCCTTTTGCATAGCCGCGTCGTTATTTTTACTTTCTTGTGCTAAGTTTTCATACTGTACGGTTTGGTTTTGCAACTGTAAAAGTTTTTCTGCCTTTACATTTGCTTCAACTTCTTTTTTATACTCATCGCTATCCATATATGTCTTCAGGGCTTTTTGTTTTATCTCTTCATCTTTCAGTACTTTATATCGAGTAGTATGGTTTTTCAAATTTATGACATCTTGTTCCATTTTTGCTACTTCTGCTGCTTTTTCTGACACTTTTTTCGCATATTCCTCTGTACTTAGTTCTTTCAGTTGTTCTTCTTTCTTCTTTTTCTCTACGTTTAACTCATTGAGTTTCTTTGTGTGTCTGTCATATTCTAGTTTCTTTTCGTTTTCACTTATTTGCTTCTGTATGTCTATGTTTGACTTTTTGACATCTGATATTTGATTTTTGAGTGAACTCAAATTCATTTGACTTTGAGGGTTATAGGCTGTTCCGTCTGCAGCTCCACCATAGCCTGCCATTTTCGCTAAAAGTGCCGCTCTTAAACCTCCACTCTGTGCACCAATGACTCGGTTTAAAAGCATAGGATTGCTTGACATTTGTTGCAACATAGTGGGGTCATTCAGCATTTGTTGTTGCAACTGTTGTTGTGGTGTCAGTTTTACTTTTGGATGTTTCAATGCTCCCTTCCTCTTACGTATATTCTTACGTAGCTTACGTGGCATTTTAAGTGAAGTTAAAAAGCGGCTTTTGACAGATGTTTATATGACACTTTTTGTTCAGCACAAAAAACTACTCGGTCAAAGTGTTGTCAGTTTTGTAAAATAACCGTCCTATCTCATTCTATAAGGGAAAAGGCTTCTCAAAGTATACTTCCTTGGAACGCCTGTAACTTTTCCTGTAGCGACGATAGACCCTTACTTGTCCGGACAAAGTTATACCATTTTGAGTGCTCTACAAAAAAGTCAACGGCGACGACTCTCAAAAACCGTTGTGTAAAAAGTTTTACCGTTGGACAAAAAGTATATATAGAAAACAAAAAACGTTTATAGTTCATTCAATATTTGAGATGGAACGGTTTACCAACGGAGACTTTTCAATAAAATAAAAAAATAGAGGGGGTTACCGTTGACAAAAACGGTTTATTTCAAACTTTTCTATGAGTAGTCCGAAAAAAAACAGTTCATTTTTCATAATGTACGCGTCTCGAACAGTGAAGCCCAATTCAATAGAATACTATCTCGAAAAACAAGAAGCTGACACTGCTATTCAGTCTTTAATACAGAACCAAGCTCAGGAGAACTCAAAAGACTCCCAATTCAAATCGACATCCAATTCGAAGCAATTAAAACTTGACTCGAATGTTTTAAAACCACAACCCGCACGAACAAATACAGCTCTAAGAATAGACCAAAGAATACCGAACAAAGAGTTGAGGTCAAGATTGAAATTACAATCGGATGAGTATTTTTCCCTTAACAACCAGGGAAATACTCCATATAACCGTATCTACACAAATACCGTTAAAGAAACAATAACGGCATACACAAAACTCTGTCAATTGGTCCCCAACCAGGACCAATTGACGGATATTATATGTTCCTACCTTCCCATATTTGCTGAGTGTGTGGAAGGTAGGACATTGTTACAAGCTTGCTTACGTATGCCACCAAATCTCCGTCAACAATTTGCTCAAATTGTACATGAATTTAAAGCTTTTAACAACGGATACGATGAAGATGAAGTAGCAGATGAATTTGGGGAAGCAAAAACATTTTTCCCCTCATATAATACGCCTGCAACAGTATTTCCTACTAATGAATTTCACAACTATTGTGTCGTTCATTTAATTGTTGTGGATATGCCCACAGGTGAAGACATTCTCAGTGGTGACTTCATCGAAGTCTGTATCAATACAGAATTGGGAGAAGATGAGTTGCACAAATTCTCCTACGTCGAACATATATTCAAACCAGCACACCAACTCTTTATCGAAACTGAAATAACACTCACACAAAATATGTCCATCTCATTTAAATCCAAATCAGGACGTCCATACAGAATTTGGATGAACTACGTCCTCTTCCACGACGCCGACGATGACGAAGAAGAGGAAGAAGAGGAGGAGGAAGAAGAAGAAGAAGACGATATCCAGTTCATTTCCATCCGTAAAAAACATTAAAGCAAACATTTCAGAATAAAAACTTCATTTTATACTAACATCTTCAGGGGGCTAGAGGGCACGAAGTGCCTGGAAGCCCCAATACCTTTTTTTTTTTTTTTTTTTTTTTTATATTCTTATTATTGTTTACAAACGTACCATTTTCTTTTCCGATACTTTTAAAATTTTATCCGCTTTCCTTTCAAATATTCAATGACTTTTCATTATTATTATCATTTTCAATTTCATATATCATTTGAAACAAAGCAACCACACTATATTATTTCTTAAAATTTTTCACTACTATCTAAAATTTTAAATGATTTACAAAACATTTTTAATTATGCTTCCTGTTATCCCTGATGTTCGCGCCCGACTTGCCAAAAAGTCCGTCTATTCTCGCAACAGTGCAACCATGATATTTGATCGTCAAACACTCCGTGACTCAACAAATTGCCATTCGTTAAGTTCTTATTCCGGAATGACAGAACTTCCTGCTCTTAAGGTCAAAAAATCGGAAGTCAAGCTAGATATCCCCACACACGAAAAAAAGCCCCGTCGTTCTTCTTATTCCCAAAAATATTACAATAAGAAGTCAAACCCATATAGGGACGCTGAAAACTACGTCGATCCTGCTTTTATAAAACAAGCAAAAAAGTCTATCAAAGGATTTTATAAAAACAGTTATCATAGCAATAACGAAGACAATGACGATAGTTACATCGAAATACCAGGACTGCCTCCACCAAAGGCCAAATCCCCAGAACTTGCACCAATTCAATCAGAATCCGAGTTAACTGTCTTAGATATTGTACTGTGAAAATCTGATTTTATTTCCTAACAGAATTATCTTTATTTTGTTTGTTATATTAAATTGATAATTAGAATCTATCGTTATTTTTCATTCTCTTTCTCTATTGCTTATCTGGTTGGTCACAGGAAAAGGGGCTGATTAATAATTTCACAATCTAAAGAACTCTTATACGAAAATAATTCATATCATTTGGTCCATTTTTTATTTCTTCTCGTTTTGCATATAAAATAGAAAAATTCTTTTCGAAGCCAATCAATTTCTCCAAGTGCAAACTAACACACACTTGAAGATATGTAGAGCGGTAAAGGAGATATAAAAACATAAAGATTCTAAAACCTTTGACGAATCATATTTTTTAGATACAATGGGCAAAACCTTCTTCAGATGCATAAGCATACATAGTATATGATTATATCATAATTAAAATTATTCAAAATTATTAATATTAGGATCGATTATTAAAAATGGAAATGTGATAAATTTATTATAATTAAACTTTTATTTTCTAGATGTAAATACAGAATTCATAATTAATTACATCAAAATAATAAGAATAATTTTCAAATTTATCAATGTAAAGTTTTTATTATGAGTTAAGTGAATAAAATGCTTATCCATATTACCTAACTTCCAACGATAGGTGCTATGGTCTGATTGTAATTGATATTTAATTTTGATTATCAAAAACATGAAAAAGCAATACATCAAGATGTTCAAGTTTGATAGGCATCATATCGTTATTTATGTTTTTGTTGTTTATGTTCACTGAGTCTTCCACGAATGTTCATGTAATAAAGTGTCACTTTTTTCACGTTATTCCATGACTGAAGTTGAAACTGGTGGAATATTCCCAACAGCCGTTTCAGATACACTTGTTGGGAAGTCTTCTAGGACTAATACATCAAGTTCAACTTTTGAAGAAAATGAAGAAATGAACAAAAATTTACAAAATGAGAAAACAGAAACAGACTCAATCGAAATTACAGGAGAAGAAGCTTCCGAGGAATCAAATGCTACTTTGGAAGTGCATTCCCAAGAAAATTCTCCAAGGCAAGATATTTTGAAAGACAAAATCACTCATCCAATACTTAAACCACAAAATAATAATAATAAATCGAAAACCACACAACTTTCAAGGAATAACAAAGTGCCAAAAACTCCAAACGCCAGAACATCGAAATTTAGAAAGACTCAGTCAATGGATCAGAGCAGAAAGAACAAAAGAACGATGAATTACAGGGAAGTGCACGAAGAGGTTCCAAATAAAGTTAAAAATAACCCTTATATTATGAAACGCCTTAATACAGTGCCAGAAAACCCTCCAAAACCCCCGCGAGCAGCTTTGCCTAAAGAAGAGTATCGTCCAAAGCCAGAAATAGTTATTGATGACTATACTCAATCGTTGATAGATAAAAAACCTTTAGATATTGAACCGACGATCGAACAATTACAAGCTTCTTCATATCAATTGAGGAACCTCGAAAAAGATCTCGTTGATAAATCCGATTACAAAGAAGCCAAAAAAGCTGCAGAAGCTCATGATTACGTTGCTGCCAAATTGAAGCGAGAAACCGCAATCAAAGACAGTAAGGCAACAATAGAAGACCTAATCTCTAAAAGAAATGAGCTTTGCGCCCTCGTAGAGCACTTAAATTCGTATTATGAAGATTTAATTCAACAGCACCAAGAAGAATTCTCTCAAAAAGCATCAGCGATGAGAGAACAACAGCAATCGGAGCTAGACAAGTTCGATGAAGAGACTCCTTCCGAATTACAACCAGAATTCAAGAGATATTCCGTAACTTTGCTAAAAATGAGAAGTGAAGAAAAGAATTTGGCCCTTAACCGAAAATTTGACGAAGCCATCGCCAAAAAAGCAAAAGCGGATAAACTGCAAAAACAAGAAGAACAGCTGAACCACGAGAAGATGGATGACTACTATAGGTTGAAGAAGCTAAGGATGATGGAAAAACATAATAAAGTCATGGAAACGTTCACACAATTTAATGAATCAAGATTTAACGAAATTTTGGGCCAAAGAAAGAAACAAATAGAACCTTTGCAGGCAAGAATCGAATCCTATGAGAAAATGATTGCAGATTTATGCGAAAAAAGAAATATAAAATCAAAACACCTTAATTTCGATGCAATTGACGATGAAAGACTGGAAAGACTCAAGACTGCATCCCAAAGTAGAAGTCCGTCAGCTCCAAGAACGCAATCTGCAATGTCAAGGACAGTTTCAAAATCTAATCCGGTAGTGAAGCCGAAAGTTGCTTCCCAGACGAAATGAATATTTTGTTATTTTTTCCTTTTGTATATTTATATGATGTTTGATAAAAAATGTCTTTAGTTTTAAAATTAATCATATTTTTTTGGGAAAACAATCTCAATATTACACTAGTTATTGTAATTATTTTGAGATAACCCTTATTAGCGGTTCTTTTCATGGAGTAGTTTTAACGAAATGTTTTAAAAAACCATACTTTCAAGCGATTTTTTGATTTTTATATTTAATATCACAGGAGTTAAGAAATCTCATTAAACAATGAGCAATCATATGAACCTCCGAACTATAATTGATCGATAAGAAGTGAAATTAAAAATGAATATTAAAATAATTAATGAAAATGACATGATAAAATTAATCCAATAAAGTGTAGACATCATGTATGCTGTTAATAGTATAAACAATTAAGAGATTTGATTGGAAAGGTGAATTGGAGTTTATTTAATGTTATGAGTTTTTACGGTTTAGATTAGACTTCCTGACCACGTGAATTATCGGTGAATTCAATGAATTAAATTATAACATACATTTTCAATTGAAAATATTAAAATTTTTCAATCAAACCAATTTTTCATGTTGATCAACAAAAATGCTGATATGATATTCTTATTAAAAATGAATCATTTTCAAGATTAGAGGATTTGAATACACTCTCAATAGCCTAGAATTTCAATAAATGTAAAACGGATTATAACAGAAAAGAATTATTAAATGGAAACAGTAGATTGCGAGTCAGGCATCATTATTCTTAAAAATTTATATGATGTAGATCGCTGTACAAATGAGGCGTTTCTGAATAAATGTGAGATCATTTGACAATAATTTTGGATCAATGAATAACATTTTAAGGTATATGCCCATAAGAATATTTTAACAAGATATGCATAAGTTTCTTTTTTCTGAGCTCTCAAAAATTGAATTGTGTAAAATTACGAGTTTTAGCGTCATCTTATTAGTTTTTAAAAAACCATTCAATTTTTGAATACTCGTTAAAGATTCAGATTTATTAATGGTTAAGACTGTTTGTATAACAGGTGCAACAGGTGTAATGGGATTAGAGTCATTGAAGCAGATATTGACTCTTGGTGATCAAGTTAAAGTTCAGTTGCTTGTCTTGAACGACAAGAAGAACAAGAAGATCATCAAGAAGTATTCTAATCTTGACAATGTCAGTATTGTCTATGGCGATCTTCGAAACTACGAAGATGTTTTGAAAGCAGTCAGTGGAAGTGATTACGTCTTACACATCGGCGGAATGGTTTCACCATATGCAGATGACAAACCACAGACGACACACGATGTCAATGTCCACGGTGCAGAGAACGTTGTTCGTGCTATCAAGGAACAACCGAACAGAGATGACATCAAAGTTGTTTACATCGGAAGTGTTGCGGAGACAGGTGACAGGAACTACCCAATACATTGGGGCAGGACAGGAGATCCAATCAAAGTCTCAGTTTTCGATCATTACGGCGTTTCTAAAGTTCTTGCGGAGCGTGTCTTTGTCGAGAGTGGTCTTAAGAAGTGGGTTGTCATGAGGCAGAGCGGCATCCTTCACGCAGGTCTTCTGGAGAAGATGGAACCGATCATGTACCACGTCCCTCTCAACGGTGTCCTCGAGTGGTGCACAGTCGAAGACAGCGGTCGTCTTATGAAGAACTTCGTCGACTTCGACCTCCCAGATGAGTTCTTCAGGAACTTCTACAACATCGGCAGTGGCGAATTCTACAGACTTACGAACTTCGAATTCGAGAACCTCATTCTCCACTCCATTGGTCTTGGTGACATCCGCGGTTTTTTCAAACCAAACTGGTTTGCTACACGCAACTTCCATGGTCAATACTACATTGACAGTGACAAACTCGATTATTTCCTCAAGTTTAGAGAGAACCTTCCAGTCAATGATTACTTCAAACGTCTCTCAAAGAATGCAAAGTTCATCTACAAAATTCCTAAGGCAATTCCTCTCAAAGGAATGATGTCTTTCGCAGCTTATCCATTCATGAAGCACATTTGCAAAGACAAGTACTTTGGACCTCTTGGATGGATCAAGAATGGTGAAACAGATAGAATTGATGCTCATTTTGGTGGAATTAACGAATTTAACAAGATCTCAAAGAAGTGGAAGAAGTTCCACATCGCTCACTATAGTACTCTCTTTGATCCAAGCAAGGACAAGTGCATGAATCATGGATATGATGAGAATAAGCCATTCGAGTCGTTGACAGTTGAAGATTTGAGACACGCAGCAGAGTTCAGAGGAGGTTCACTTGTCAGTGATCACGTTGATGACATGTGTTCCAAAGTTACATGGAAGTGCGGACATTGTGGTCGCGAGTTCGAAGCATCACCAACACTTATCTTGAAAGGCGGACACTGGTGCCCACACTGCTTCATTCCAGAGACATCATGGCAGTACGACTCCATTGCCAAGACCAACAAGTTCTTTGCCCAAAGCTGGAACTTCAGCTACAAAGAAGTTGCCAACAAAACTTATGATTTCAAACAATGCTTTGATAGAAAATGTTATGACAAAGACATCAAAAAGAAATCAAAGCATTAAGCTTTTATATTGTTTTCTGTTTTAAATCTTTTATTTATTAATACAATTTTAATGTTTACCAACACGACTGATTGATTTTCATGAAATTCTTAAATGATTTACTGAAAGACCAAAATATCATAATCTAACAAGTTTAACATGAAAGGTATCTATATAAAGCCTTTCTTAATAAGGTTTATTTTCATAAAATTTCTAGTTAAACCTTTTATTAAAATTCAATTTTAAAAAAAAGTTATTATTCATGAAATAACATTAGTTAAAATTAGTATAACAGATCTCGACAAGCATTATTAGATTTTAATGTTAAGTTCTGGTAAAAATAGAATGAAATTAAAACGAAATAACTTTATTTACACAAAAACAGCTAAACAAATAAACATTATAACAACAGCAATAAAAGCTAATATATAATAAACCATATTCATGTTCTTAGAAGAGTTGTTGCATGTATCAAAGCATTGTTTGAAATCATAAACTTTGTTGGCAACTTCTTTGTAGCTGAAGTTCCAGCTTTGGGCAAAGAACTTGTTGGTCTTGGCAATGGAGTCGTACTGCCATGATGTCTCTGGAATGAAGCAGTGTGGGCACCAGTGTCCGCCTTTCAAGATAAGTGTTGGTGATGCTTCGAACTCGCGACCACAATGTCCGCACTTCCATGTAACTTTGGAACACATGTCATCAACGTGATCACTGACAAGTGAACCTCCTCTGAACTCTGCTGCGTGTCTCAAATCTTCAACTGTCAACGACTCGAATGGCTTATTCTCATCATATCCATGATTCATGCAGATGTCTTTGTTTGGATTGAACTTTGTATCATAGTGTTTGATGGCGTATTCACCCCAGTTGGAAGGAAGTTTCTTAAACTCTTCAATTCCACCGTAATGAGAATCCAATCTATCTGTGTAGTTTGTTCTAATCCATCCTAATGTTCCGAAGTCCTTATTCTCTCCAATCAACTTCATGAATGGCTGAGCAACAGCAGACATTGCATCTTTGAATGGAATGTACTTTGGAACAGTGAAAATCTTCTTTGCCTTTGATGATAAGATCTCAAAGTATTCTTCTGTTTCAATGTTGGCTCTGAACTTCAAATATGACTCTAGCCTGTCACTGTCAATGTAGTATTGACCATGGAAGTTGCGTGTAGCAAACCAGTTTGGTTTGAAAAAACCGCGGATGTCACCAAGACCAATGGAGTGGAGAATGAGGTTCTCGAATTCGAAGTTCGTAAGTCTGTAGAATTCGCCACTGCCGATGTTGTAGAAGTTCCTGAAGAACTCATCTGGGAGGTCGAAGTCGACGAAGTTCTTCATAAGACGACCGCTGTCTTCGACTGTGCACCACTCGAGGACACCGTTGAGAGGGACGTGGTACATGATCGGTTCCATCTTCTCCAGAAGACCTGCGTGAAGGATGCCGCTCTGCCTCATGACAACCCACTTCTTAAGACCACTCTCGACAAAGACACGCTCCGCAAGAACTTTAGAAACGCCGTAATGATCGAAAACTGAGACTTTGATTGGATCTCCTGTCCTGCCCCAATGTATTGGGTAGTTCCTGTCACCTGTCTCCGCAACACTTCCGATGTAAACAACTTTGATGTCATCTCTGTTCGGTTGTTCCTTGATAGCACGAACAACGTTCTCTGCACCGTGGACATTGACATCGTGTGTCGTCTGTGGTTTGTCATCTGCATATGGTGAAACCATTCCGCCGATGTGTAAGACGTAATCACTTCCACTGACTGCTTTCAAAACATCTTCGTAGTTTCGAAGATCGCCATAGACAATACTGACATTGTCAAGATTAGAATACTTCTTGATGATCTTCTTGTTCTTCTTGTCGTTCAAGACAAGCAACTGAACTTTAACTTGATCACCAAGAGTCAATATCTGCTTCAATGACTCTAATCCCATTACACCTGTTGCACCTGTTATACAAACAGTCTTAACCATGAATCAATTTGCTTAATGATTATCCAAAAATTCCCAGAATTTTTTTATCGAAAAATTGTAAAAGTTTTTTATCAAATTTTTCAGATAAAAATTCCCATCAATCTCTATTTTTATTTGGTAATATGTAATAATATTGTAATAAACAGAAATTCATCAAAAGTGACAGCTCTCAATTTTTTGACATTTGTAAATTCTAAATTGAATGAGAAAAATGAAATAATACTAAGCATAATACAATATTCTAGATTTCTCCGACTTTTAAATATGAAATATTAACATGCAAATTTGATTTTTGAATCAAATTGAATTTTTTCTGGTGATCTAAATTTACACTTCTCAAATTTCAGGTTTTTCAAACTGGAAAGCATCCATATTAAAAATTTCGAAATTTCAACAAACATTTATCATCCATTACATCAGTACTACTTTGTATTACCTGGAATCATCTTATAATAAGCTCATCTTCTTCATTTTTAAATTTGGAAAAATCATTTAAGATTAACTTGTAGGGAGAAAGGTGAAGGGGCACATTAATGTACTATATCTGCAAGATATGAAAATATAGAAATAATTAATTATTATATATTTTCCAGTTAAAAGTTATTTGAGGCAATCACAAAAACTGCTCCAAATTTCTTAGATTGTTATCTCATTCTATCAAACATTACTTCTAGATTTTTTGTGTTTAATTATTTTTCCGAAAATTGACAGAGTGCGTCTCAATTTTTGAGGAACATACGGTATGATTTTTGGAATATTTATAATATCAAATAAACCAGTGATTTCGATTTCTGGACAAAGTATGAATGCAAAAATTTAACCCCAGAAAGAGTTAAACAATAATCCAAATTTCAATAACCCCAACAGTTTATTAACTTTACAAAAATTTATTTTAAATTTTAATGAAATAATTTGGTTTGATTTTACATGCTGAATTAAAAATAATATTTCAATTGATTTACTCTCAAAATAAAAACGAATCTTTTCAGTAGAATATATATCGTAAAATATTATTTTATTATATTGCAAAAGAAAGGTAGTGGGGCTTCCAGGCGCGTTGCGCCCTCTAGCCCTGAAGATGTTTAGTATAAATGAAGTTTATATTCGGAGGGCTTCCAGGCGCGTTGCGCCCTCTAGCCCCGAAGATGTTTAGTATAAATGAAGTTTTTATTCGGAAAATTGTTAGTCTTCTGGGTCGAAAACATTATATAATGTGTCGCTTTTCACAAATTATATATGTTTTCATGCTTTGTCACTTTTCTGTCACTTTTCGGGTAAAAACATTTTTATTATTATATATAAATGAATTTTACAAAACCACCGTTACCGTTCTTTGGAAATAAGAGTAGATGTAAAGATATTATATTGAGAGAACTTAAGAAACTACCGAATGGTCTAACATTTGTAGATTTGTTCGGTGGAAGTTTCTATATATCCCATTTATGTCATACCGTATTTCCTGACTCAAAGATTATATGCAATGACTTCGACAACTATATGAACCGTCTCAAACATATTCCAGACACAAACAATATATTGAAAGAGTTAAAAGAAAAGATACCTATAGGTAAGATGGAACGTATACCATTAGATAAGAAAAATATTGTGAGAGAGGTTTTGAAAAAAGCAGAATATATAGACTGGGATAGTATATCTGCTAGACTATTATATAGTGGTGCTATAAGAGTTCATGACATTGAAACACTTATGTCAAAAGTTTTATATCTTAACTATACAAATGTTTTCAAAGAGGACATAGAAAAATATATTGAGGGTATAGAGTTTGTGAGATGTCATTGGACAGAGTTGTATGAAAAATATAAAGACAAGGAAAATGTTTTCTTTATAGTGGACCCGCCGTTCTATAACACATGGGATTTTCAATACCAAGTAGACTGGACTTTGAGAGACTCTTTAGAAACTTTAGACGTTATACATAACCATCCATGCTTTTACTTTACATCCGATAAAAGTGGTTTGGAAACCGTTATGAGATGGTTAGAGGACATACATGACTATGAGTTTATATATGACAAGATAGAATATGAGAGAGGTCCTATAAACCGGAGAAAGTGTCACAATAAAGAAATTTTATTAGTAAGTAAATGTGGTTTGAAATCGGATTGTTAGTTTTAGGTTTTTTCCATTGTGTCATTTATTTATTTGACGTGGCAGAAAAGTACAGAGAATATGAAGATGAACCATTGCCTGCAAATGTTCAGCATATGTACTCGTAAGAGATATTTTTATCTAATATTAAATGGACGCACAGAACTTAGCGAATGCACAGCAACCTGGACAACCAAACCCAGAGAATATTCCAAATGAAGTTAGAATACAAACTGCAATGGCAAACTATGGTCAAGTGCCAACAGATGTACAAATGCAAACTGCCATGTCAAATGACGCTGCGTTAGGTTTGCCACCATGGTATGCAAATATGAGATGGAAAGAGTTTTATACAAACCCTGAAGTGGGATATAAACAACTTTATGCAGATGACGCGAACACAGGAGTTGACCCAGAATATGTTTTCTACCAGAGGAGAAACAGAATGTATGAGCTCCAGTTAAAGAATGCTATGGAACTCAACAGGAAACGTAAGAGACTAGGCGGACATTAGATTTTTACATATAGTAAAATGGGTTTCTTCAGTAGTATTGGAAACTTCTTCAGAAGAGTTGGAAGAGGTATATGGAATGGAATAAAAACCGTAGGAAGAGGAATTTGGAACGGTGTCAAAAATATTGGTAAAAGAGTAGGTCAGTTTGTTGGTATTATACCTAAAGACCCTGAACCAGAAGAACAAGCTCCTGTTATACAACAGCCTGAACCTGCACCACAGTCTAGTTGGCAACCAAATCCAACACCTCAACCGTATTAAAAAATTATATTTTTATCGTTCGATAGTAGTTGTATATGAAACTAAGTTCTAAGTAAAACGCATGGTATAATGGAATTATTCTTTTTCTTCCATCTGTAGTAAACCATACTTGAAAGTCTGAAATACTTCCACTTGGTGGTTCGTATAACTTTGTAGGTTTTTCGTAAAAGTCATTTGCCAAGCATAAGAAAGAGTTTTGGGCGCCAGAAAATGAAGCATGAACAATAATAGCAGCTGGGTCGAAAACATTTTCATATGTTCCATTAGGGTTTTCGACTTCATAAAAGTCTGGGTGTACTGGATATGCTGCAGGCTGATTTAACATCCTCATAAATCTATACCATGCCAAGTTGTTATATTTTGTAGAAATATAAACGTTTTCTCCAAGGTCTTCTATTTTATTGATTTTAACAGTTGCATTTTTCCTGTCATAAATAATATCGAGATGGTATTCTCCTTCGTCAATGTTATACTGGTTTGCATATTCGATATAGATATCGTTTATTTTTTCTTGAAAAGCTTGAAGAGTTGTTTCTAAGTTTACAAGCAAACTAACTTGTAAAAGTTTTCCCTGTTCAAATTTCTCATACATACGTTTTTCTTTGTTATAGTATCGAACTTCAAAACCGACCGTAAATGGGAAACCATGTATGGCTTCTGAAATGAACTTCATTCTACGAAAGCCAATAGCTTTTGTGACAGATGGGTCTCTTAGCCATCTTAATGGGTAGTCAAAACGATAGCCTTCATGCTTTACGGTATCTGTCTCAAACTTTTGACCGACATTAGTAAAAAGTTCATCTAATGGTTTAGTTGTAGCAACTCTTGAATTTTCTTTTTCTATTGGAAGCATATTTTATCTAGAATAAAAATGTCGAAAGATATTGCTTCCATAAGAGAAATACAACACAACCGACAACTCATTATGCAAGCTCTAAATAAGAACACAACAAACTTTTCAAACTATTCTAAGATATCTGAGTCATTGAAAGAAGGAAACTTAAAACTGACATTAAACCCAATGACAGATGAGTTTCTGTTTCAAGACAAGAAGAACAATACTGTCTGTATAAATCCAACAAAAGGAACTTTAAACGAGAAACCTATAAATGAACTTCTTTTGAAAGCAGATGTTGACAACAAAGCTGACAAAGAATATGTAGACGATGCAATAGCAAAAGAAGAAGAAAGAGCTAACAATGCTTATGCAACAAAAGAACATTCTCATCCTGAACTAGCAGACAAAACATATGTTGACAATAAAATGTCAAGTGAAGTGACAAGAGCTGAAAACGAATATTCTAAAAAGACTCATATACATTCTATATCTGATATTACAAACTTACAAGAAACCTTAAACAGTAAAAGTGCCGTTGGACATACACATACATCTTCTGAAATAACAGACTTAAACGTTAGCCTTGAAAAGAAAGCAGACAAGAACCATACACATGATTTCTTCACAACTGTTGGTATAGAAAGTATTGAAGGAACGGTTGAAGAAACTGGTGGGGATGCATTATATTGTAAACCTCCTAACTTTCCACAAGGTTTAACATCGGATGACGACATAACGACGATGAGAAACATTAGATGTAAAGATGTTTATGTCATGAAGGATGAACATAATATTAAATTCACTGCTCAAGATTTATATGACAAGAAAGCAGACAAAACAGAGCTTCAAACATTAAAGACAGAAATACTTCAAACATTATATCCTATAGGCTCTATTTATACGTCAATGAACTCTACCAGACCAGAAGTAGTACTTGGTTTTGGAACTTGGACTCAAATAGTCGACAGGTTTTTGTATTGTGCAAACTCTTCAAAGGAAACAGGTGGAAGTAAAACGATTTCGGGTGAAAATTTACCTGCGCACAGTCACTACATAGATTTAAGTACATCTCAAGCAGGTTGGCATAAGCATAGATATTGGGATTGGTCATCAATGACAAAAGGTAAAGGATATGATGTTAAAGACAACGTTAAGTTTGCTATAAATTGTTACTGGAGTAACACTGAGGGAGGAGGAAACCATACACATCGCGTTACAGGATATACGCAAACACGGGACAAAGTAGAAGAATACATGCCACCTTACATGACAGTTTACGCATGTATAGAAATGCTTAGTCGTCATTTTCAACTTCTTTAGCATATTCGTCAGGAGTTGTCTTATATTTGTTAGGAACTGTCTTTGAAAGTATACCACCTTGAACTTGACAAGTTTGAAACGAGTCTGGCAATAGTAGTTTTATCTTCTGCTTGCAGTCTGTACATTTTGCCATGTTTGCCTAAAACTTCATAATATTTCTTGTATACTTTCTTCTATTTTTACGAACACGAATGTGAGTACCTATCGGGTTCCCATTGTTGTCATAGTCAATAGTATTTTCATATGGGTCGCGTTTAGGTATTTCTATTTTACTTTGTCACCTTTCTGAAGTTTGAAGCCCGGCATTCTTTCTTGTTTGTCTCTTTTGACTAAATTATTAAATATATAGTCTTTCTCTAAGTCAGGGTTGTTTTTCATTTCTTCGGGGATGGTTTCCCAAACCTTTTTGTTTACGGTTATTGTAAATATTTAAAACTTGTCTCATCTTTGCCATAGAAGTGTCTATATTTGTCGTCATATGACATTTCATTTGCTTCACCACCTTGTGGTTGGTTTAAGTCTCTTAACATTTTTATACAACCGTCAATGACACCAAGAGCAGAATGGTTTGGTCGACAATGAAATATTGGTTTACATTTTTTGAACGCAGATAGTTTTTAATATCATCTGATTTGAAAGAACTTTCACAGTCAGATGTCAGTTTTGTTGGATGGTATTTGTCAAACGAATATTGTTTCAAAGCAGTTTTCACATCTAAAATATTTTGGACCATAATGGTATGGCTTCACAGTATCTTGTGTTTGACCAACAATATTAACCAGTATGGTGGTCCATCTTCTCTATACCTCGGAATGTTTTCCAAGATATCATAAACCAAGCATTTGGTGTTGAACTAAAGATTTTACCATGAGTGCTTTCTTTGTCGCTTTTAGAAACATAGGGGTCCTTGTTTGGATTCGTCATTTTTATCCTATAAGAAATGGGTTTATTTGGCGCATTAGCAGGAGTTGCATCCAGATTTTTACCCGCAGTGGGAACAATAGCTAGAGGTGCATTTGGAATTGGAAGGAAGATTTTGAGTACATTAGTATACTTAAAGAGAAAGCACAACCTATTATACAAACTGTACAGAAAGGTTGGGATGTAGCACGAGATGCAACAAATCTTATTCCAAATCCTGAAACAAGAGGAAAAGTTCAAGGATGGATGGACAATGTAGGAAGACAAGCAGGAAACTATTATAACAAAGCAAATGACTACTATAACCAAGCAGGACACTATATGGACCAAGGTGAAAGATTCTTTAACAGAGGATATAACCATGCACAACAGTGGGTAAACAATAACCAACCTCAACCGCCTCAAACGTGGGGAATGTAAAGTTTTTTACTGAGATGAAATGAACAATACAGCATTGAGACAAATGGGTTCAAGATGGATTTGTCGGCTTCCAGCAGTTACACCACATGTTTGTCAAGTTCTTCCTATACCTCAGGAAGTTTTAGACCGACTTAAAAAACCTAAACAACCAGTTGAAAACAAACCAAACTAAAATTTTTTACTGAGATGAAATGACCGAAGAAGTTGAAACGGTAGATTTGACACCACAAACAAAAAGTTCAGAACCATTGTCAAAACCCGTCAAAGAACTTACAGATGAAGAGAAAAATTCAATAATAGAAAGTGCCAGGTCTGGAAATACAAACCCTAACTACAAAGTCACTTTTCATAAAAATGGAACGGCTAGTATCTCAAAAAAGAAACAGACTCTCACAAATAAAATATTGAAGTCTGAAGGAGCTTTCGAGACAACAGATGGAAAAGTTTACTTCACTGACCAACAGTTCATTATAGAACATCTCATTGACTTAGAGTCGAAATATTCTAAACTTTACAACAAACACAAAAAGTTGAAAGGAAAACAAAAACAAATGGCATATGATATTTATGAAGATGTTGACGACACAACTGTTCCAGCACGTGAAGTAAAGTCAGAGGAACCGAAAAGTGACGAAAAACCGATAGAAGAAGAAAAACCAAAAACTGAAGATAAACCAAAACCAAAGTTTAGTTTCCAAACTAAACCAAGTCAACCTTCATTAGCTGGTATGGGTTGGCGTCAAAGACTTATGGCAGCAGGTGGTTATGTAAAGTAAAGAAAAAAAATATTTTTTTATTTTTATAAAAATGCCTCCATATAGAATGGATAGAAAGTCTGCTAGAATAAAAGCAGAGTTACAAAGATATGGTTGGAGAGTTTCGAAGAAGTTTAAATATAGGAAGGGAAGACCCATAAAAGTCTATGACAAATTGTCTGGTCTTCGCTACGAAATGGATTTGGAAACAGCACGTGCCAATTATCCAAACAGACTAGAGAGGTTAGAAGAAGAACGTCTTATGGACATGCCTTTCGATGTGTTAAACATTGCATGAAATAAAAAATTTATTTTTAAAAAAGTGACATTTTTTTATTTTATTTGAAATGTACGCTGAGTTTGTTGGAGAAGACCGTTGGGAAACTTGTTTGTTAGATGAGAAATATGAAATGGCATACCATTTTAAAACAATATATTTTTACATATATTAAATGCTTCAGGTTGAAAAACAAAGAACAAAAGTAGCAGATACAAAACCGTTAGACTATATCTTTACAAATGCTGGTAGGACTATTTCAGATGAAGAAATTTCATCCCGAGCATACAGGTTTGACTATCCAATTCGTTGGCTTCAAAGTCCTTCAGATGCAAAGGCAAAGCATTTAGAAGAGTTTTGTTTTCAAATAGAACTAACGCATTTATGTTCGCAGTATATTTTCATGGGCAGTATAAAGGTTCTGATGGTCTAATAGACAAATTTGATGAAATGAGAATCTTTACAGTTCGTTCAGACGAAAGTCTTGAGAAAACTCTAAATGACTTTCAAACTCAAATGAACAAATATTATTGGGAATTTCAAGAAAAATTACGACTCTTTACTAAATGGAACATACTATCTGAAACTAGAATATGACAAGATGAACTCCACCGTTTCATTTCAAAAGATTGAAATTAACCCTCCAAGAGATACAGAGTTTTTATTTTGGAAAGTAGACAAACGTTCTTGGGCACAATTTCTTCGGTTACTAACCAGAACGAACCATTACCACAGATGGTCCATTTAAATTTATACTTCCACCAGCAGATTTGACAGTTTATAGAAACGTGTTTGACCCTCAAAATGTTATGTGTCATGCAAGTTTCAGTTCAAGCAACAATAGTTTTCTATGTATTGGTAAGGACTTTTATGACTTTGCTTCTAAATTCTACGAACCACCTAGTAACAGTTTCTCTGACTTTCAAGTTGGTTCACAACAAATGGTGTGGCAACATATTATTCCATTGTACTATGACTTTTATCTCGAATTGTCTTTCATATATAACTACGGAAAAGTGCTGAAAAAGTATTGAATGTGAAGATATTAGAAAATAACATTTTTTCTAACATCGTAGAAAACTCATGAAAACAATTTATTTTTGACACTTTCACAAAAAACATTAAAAAAGTGAGTTAAAATGAGATGTTTACTGAACTGGTTGGATGTCGCCTTCTGAGGTTATGTAGAACGGCTGACCCGAGAAGTGAACAGTGCTCTGAGAATTTGTATATAATTCGTGGAATTGGACTCTCTCTGTTTGGAAGTTGTATCCATGGGCGCTTTGCAAAGAACTTGAGAAGAGCTTCTTTCTTCATCTCCTTTATGTCGTCTACAGGAGTGTTTTCTGGTATTTGAATTGGAATTCCGGTCGAAGTCTCGAGATTCAAGGCAGCCCTTCCAGAAATAGTGGTGAACTTGACCTTGGGCTTCATGACCTTGCGCAAGTACTGCTTAACAAGCTCGTTAATTTAAATTAGGTAAACTGCCTCATCTAATGGCTCGATGTTGTCCATTGCTACTGTCAGTAAAAGTACTGCTACTGTCAGAAAAAGTACTGCTACTGTCAGTAAAAGTACTGCTACTGTCAGTAAAAGTACTGCTACTGTCAGTAAAAAGGAAAATTTGAGAGGGTTTTCGATGATAAAGTACTGCTACTGTCAGAAAAAGTACTGCTACTGTCAGTAAAAGTACTGCTACTGTCAGTAAAAGTACTGCTACTGTCAGAAAAAGTACTGCTACTGTCAGTAAAAGTACTGCTACTGTCAGTAAAAGTACTGCTAGTAGCAGAGATTTTTATCGTTGGTGGTCCGACGGTTAAGCCACAAACGAATGTCCGACGTCCCACCAACCCAGTCCATTCCCAAACCAGAAGAACCTAAAGAACCACAACAGTCTCCTCAGCAACCTCAGTTCCAGCAAGTATCTCCGAATTACTACCAATTTCCACCTCAAGGTTACTACCCACCACAAGGCTTCCCGAACTACCCTCCTCAGCCTATGCCTTACTGCCCCAACCCTTGGTTGTTCCAGCAATTCCAATCTCAATCCAAATCGAAGAGAGACCAAGAGTTCGAAGAAGGTCTGAACCGCTTACGCAAAGAGTATGCTACAGCTCCAATTGAGAGAAAGTTGTTCCCGGACCAAAAAATAATGTTTAGGTGAAGAGGTGAGATCTCACCCGTTTTCTCACCTCTTTTCTCACCTCTTGAATTTGTCATGACTTCTTCGTAAACTAAACGTAAATGTTTTGTGAAGAATATAGCAACAGTCTGAATTCCGGCGGTTGCTTTTTATACAAAATTCATGCAGGAAATTCTTGAGTTTTGGTTGAAAGAATACGGTGGAGCCAAATGTGGCTCGACCTCAAAACAAGCATTTTATGAGCTTACAAAGGGTGTTATGAATGAATTCAGCAACATACATCCTGACCTCGTTCATTTTGTTGCTAAATTCAGTAAAAATATATTTTAGGTGAAGTGGTGAGATCTAACCTGTTTTCTAACCTCATTTCTAACCTCTTGAATTTTCATGAATTTTATATATTAATGTTTTCGTTATGCCACTTTGTGCCGTCAGTCAGTCAGTCAGTCAGTCAGTTTAGGAAATTTACACCAAAAATAATGTTTAGGGTAGAAGGTTAGATCTAACCTGTTTTCTCACCTGTTTTCTACCCTCTTGAATTTTCATGAATTTCCTTAAGATAGAAAAAATAAAATTAGTTTTATTTTGTATTTTTTTGTATAAAAGATATGATTTCAGGGATTTTTTTGACGAAGTGTTAATGTTCACTTCGTCAAAAAATAACAGTTATCTAATGAAAAAGTGTCATTTTTTTGTATAAAAGATATGATTTCAGGGATTTTTTTGACGAAGTGTTAATGTTCACTTCGTCAAAAAATAACAGTTATCTAATGAAAAAGTGTCATTTTTTCATTTTTTTGTATTTGACGAGAATGTTTAGGGTAGAAGGTTAGATCTAACCTGTTTTCTCACCTGTTTTCTCACCTCATGAATTTTCATGATTTCATCGTAAATGTTTTGTCAAGACTTCTTCGTACATGTTTTGTCAAGACTTCTTCGTACATGTTTTGTCAAACATGAACGTATATGCTTTGTCAAACATGAACGTAAATGTTTTGTCAAAACTTCTTCGTAAATGTTTTGTCAAGACTTCTTCGTAATGAGCGTAAATCAGACAAAAATATATTTTAGGTGAAGTGGTGAGATCTCACCCGTTTTCTCACCTCTTTTCTCACCTCTTGAATTTGTCATGACTTCTTCGTAAACTAAACGTAAATGTTTTGTGAAGAATATAGCAACAGTCTGAATTCCGGCGGTTGCTTTTTATACAAAATTCATGCAGGAAATTCTTGAGTTTTGGTTGAAAGAATACGGTGGAGCCAAATGTGGCTCGACCTCAAAACAAGCATTTTATGAGCTTACAAAGGGTGTTATGAATGAATTCAGCAACATACATCCTGACCTCGTTCATTTTGTTGCTAAATTCAGTAAAAATATATTTTAGGTGAAGTGGTGAGATCTAACCTGTTTTCTAACCTCATTTCTAACCTCTTGAATTTTCATGAATTTTATATATTAATGTTTTCGTTATGCCACTTTGTGCCGTCAGTCAGTCAGTCAGTCAGTCAGTTTAGGAAATTTACACCAAAAATAATGTTTAGGGTAGAAGGTTAGATCTAACCTGTTTTCTCACCTGTTTTCTACCCTCTTGAATTTTCATGAATTTCCTTAAGATAGAAAAAATAAAATTAGTTTTATTTTGTATTTTTTTGTATAAAAGATATGATTTCAGGGATTTTTTTGACGAAGTGTTAATGTTCACTTCGTCAAAAAATAACAGTTATCTAATGAAAAAGTGTCATTTTTTTGTATAAAAGATATGATTTCAGGGATTTTTTTGACGAAGTGTTAATGTTCACTTCGTCAAAAAATAACAGTTATCTAATGAAAAAGTGTCATTTTTTCATTTTTTTGTATTTGACGAGAATGTTTAGGGTAGAAGGTTAGATCTAACCTGTTTTCTCACCTCTTTTCTCACCTCATGAATTTTCATGATTTCTTCGTACATGTTTTGTCAAGACTTCTTCGTACATGCTTTGTCAAGACTTCTTCGTACATGTTTTGTCAAACATGAACGTATATGTTTTGTCAAACATGAACGTACATGTTTTGTCAAACATGAACGTACATGTTTTGTCAAAACTTCTTCGTAAATGTTTTGTCAAGACTTCTTCGTAATGAGCGTAAATCAGACAAAAATATATTTTAGGTGAAGTGGTGAGATCTCACCTGTTTTCTCACCTGTTTTCTCACCTCATGAATTTTCATGATTTCATCGTACATGCTTTGTCAAGACTTCTTCGTTTATGTTTTGTCAAACATGAACGTACATGTTTTGTCATGACTTCTTCGTAAATGTTTTGTCATGATTTCATCGTAATGAGCGTAAATGACCAAAAAATATATTTTAGGTGAAGTGGTGAGATCTAACCTGTTTTCTCACCTGTTTTCTCACCTCTTGAATTTTCATGATTTCATCGTACATGCTTTGTCAAGACTTCTTCGTACATGTTTTGTCAAAACTTCTTCGTTTATGTTTTGTCAAACATGAACGTACATGTTTTGTCATGACTTCTTCGTAAATGTTTTGTCATGATTTCATCGTAATGAGCGTAAATGACCAAAAAATATATTTTAGGTGAAGTGGTGAGATCTAACCTGTTTTCTCACCTGTTTTCTCACCTCTTGAATTTTCATGATTTCATCGTACATGCTTTGTCAAGACTTCTTCGTACATGTTTTGTCAAAACTTCTTCGTTTATGTTTTGTCAAACATGAACGTACATGTTTTGTCATGACTTCTTCGTAAATGTTTTGTCATGATTTCATCGTAATGAGCGTAAATGACCAAAAAATAATGTTTAGGGTAGAAGGTGAGATCTCACCTGTTTTCTAACCTGTTTTCTCACCTCATGAATTTTCATGAATTTTCCCGAAATAAAAAAATAAAGTTAGTTTTATTTTATTTATTCTTCATTTTTTTGTATGTAAAGATATGATTTCAGGGATTTTTTTGACGAAGTGTTACTCTTCACTTCGTCAAAAAATAACAGTTATCTAATGAAAAAGTGTCATTTTTTGTATTTGACGAGAATGTCGGGTAGATGGTTAGATCTAACCTGTTTTCTACCCTCATTTCTACCCTCTTGAAATTTCATGAATTTTCCCGAAATAAAAAATAAAGTTAGTTTTATTTTATTTATTTTTTTTATTTTGTATGTAAAGATATGATTTCAACAATCGGCACAACAACAATTCAAACAACAGCACCAAACTCGTTAGTCATGAATCCAACATCTATGTTAGTAGAGATGAAAAACTTCATTCCTTCTTCATATACTTTCGAAACAAAAATCCAGAAGATAAAGCAAGAACTTTTAACAAGTAATTTAGACTGTAGTGCGAAAGATGAAACAAATGAAGAATATCTTTATGAAATGCAGGACATTATTGACCATTTGCCTAAACTACCTGAAATCCAACAACAAAAACTCACTATTCCTGAATTTGACGAAATTGAAGTGAAACCAACTGACTCAGTAGAAATAAAGAAGTTCATACGAAAGGTAAACTATGAATTCCTTGGTTTTCATTGCAACCATAAAGTTATGGACAAAGATTGCGACATGGTATATAAGAATGTTTCTGACATATATAAATCTGAAGAATTTAAGACCTACGACAACTTTGTTTCGTTAGTTGCTGAATGTGTTTGGGAAATAAGAGATAAAGATAGAAGAGGCAAAGTATGGAACAAACAAATAAGACCCGCTATGTTTGAGATGAAGAGAGCAATTGACGCCTTAGTTGTTTTAGCAGGTAAGGTTTCAGAATATAACGCAAAAATGAACCCGCAATGTTCTAAATGTAAAGCAGCAATTAGGAAATATAACTACTCCGTCAAAGAGATAGAACGTATGCGAAACGACTATGCAGACTTAAAGAAAGAAGCAGAGAAGCCGGTAGAAGATAAAATGAACATGTTAGAATTTCTGAACAAAAACTATCCAACAGCAGAAGATTTCCTTCTATCTGACGTCAAGAAGAAGTATAAAGAAACTTTCGGTATCGTTAAAACTTTTGACATACTGACAGAAGAAATAGAAGCTACGAAATTGTTTAGAATTTCAAATATACATCGTACAATTCATGTAAAACGCTTGTGAAAAAACTGGGGTGAGAAAACAGGTGAGAAAACGGGTGAGATCTCACCTCTTCACCTAAACATTATTTTTACTGAATTCAGCAACAAAATTCTGAGTAAAATAATTTTTAGGGCATGTGTCAAACCGTTGAGTTTTCACAAAATTTTAAAAATAACGTTTACCATGTGAAACGTTTATAAAATAACTGGGGTAGAAAAGAGGTTAGAAAACGGGTGAGATCTAACCTTCTACCCTAAACATTATTTTTGTCTGATTTACGCTCATTACGAAGAAGTCTTGACAAAACATGTACGAAGAAGTCTTGACAAAACATGTACGAAGAAGTTTTGACAAAACATTTACGATGAAATCATGAAAATTCATGAGGTGAGAAAACATATACGTTCATGTTTGACAAAACATTTACGATGAAATCATGAAAATTCATGAGGTGAGAAAACATATACGTTCATGTTTGACAAAACATTTACGATGAAATCATGAAAATTCATGAGGTGAGAAAACAGGTGAAAAAACGGGTGAGATCTAACCTTCTACCCTAAACATTATTTTTGTCTGATTTACGCTCATTACGAAGAAGTCTTGACAAAACATTTACGAAGAAGTTTTGACAAAACATGTACGAAGAAGTCTTGACAAAACATGTACGATGAAATCATGAAAATTCATGAGGTGAGAAAACAGGTGAGATCTCACCACTTCACCTAAAATATATTTTTGTCTGATTTACGCTCATTACGATGAAGAAGTCTTGACAAAACATTTACGAAGAAGTTTTGACAAAACATGTACGAAGAAGTCTTGACAAAACATGTACGATGAAATCATGAAAATTCATGAGGTGAGAAAACAGGTGAGAAAACAGGTTAGAAAACAGGTTAGATCTAACCTTCTACCCTAAACATTATTTTTGCT